CCTGGAAATTCCAGCATTAAATAATGTTTTATTTCAATAAACACTATAATAACATTTTTTTTAATATGTTAAAGTAGCTAGGCCTTATTAGAGCTTGTCTGCTGGCCTTTTTACAGCACATTTTATTTATTTCTTTACATCTGCACTGTGAAATGATGTGGTAATGCAGGGATGTTTTGTTTTATAGCTCAAACTGGAGATTAGAAATTTCACCAAGGATTTTTCCATTGGCCTTTTGGATTAATATGGGAATCTGTGGGAAATAAAAGTTCTTTTATTTACTTGTTTTCTAAACTTTTCTTCCATCAAGATAAATGTTTTCTGAAATTTAATTAAAACTCTTATTTTTTTTGTTGTAAAATGAAATAAATTACTAAATAAAATCAAGATAATTTTGTTTTAAATCAGAATAAATAGCCTTAAGAATGGTCCATCCTAGTTGTGAACCAGATTTTAAAGATATAAAATAAATATGGTTTACACAATGTGAAAATGTGCAAACAAACATTCAATGGTCAAAGTTTAACTGAGACGACCGGAGTCAAATTTAGATGTATTCTCTGAAAACTGTGAGCTGTGTTAGATGTAACACCCTCAAATGTCTACTGCATGTAGCTTCCCTTATGGACAAATATCAAAATGTAAAAAATAATTATAATAATATACATATTTCTTTAATAATCATTATTAAGGGGTTACTTCCATAAAACCAAAATTTATTTCTAAAGCAATCAAGATACTGCATCGACCTTCCCAACCACGTTCACAAAAATATGAAAACATTAATTACAAGAAATTTGGGTAATGCTTTCATATGATTCATAATTCAACATTTATGTTGTTTTTGTGAATGGACAGCATTTTGGAAATGATTCAGCTTCCTGTTTCCTGTGCTGTTTGACACTGTTGCCTGTGTATCATGGCCGTGATGATGAATGTACCCGTCAGAAACCCCACAAACGTCTTGTTGCTACTAATCATCGTATCTCTCACTCCCTCCCATGTTCCCTCCCAGCGTGTTAAAAGTTTTGTTGAGTGTCTGTCTTCATCTCGGGCTCAGCATCAGCAGTGAGTCATCCCTCCGCCCACCTGCTTCTCGTCACCTCCTCCCCTCTTTTCTCTCCTCTTTTTTGATCTCCTTAAACCTCACTTCTTCTACTTCTTTGCTACAACCCTTCCTCCCACACACTTGGCGGCTACGGGATCTGTGTTCGTGTGTGTTTTTGTCGTGTGGTGTATAAGCGCTGTAACAGACCCAATCTAACCCCCCACCCTCATCCCCAACCCCAGATGTGTTTTTCCCTCCATATGTAGCCTAGCATGGCGAGGCGCTCATTCGCATGTGTGCGTGGTAGCGTGGAGGAGGCACGGCAGAGGGTGGCGCCGCCATAGGCAGGGACTGGGGTGCGGGCCCACTCGGGTGAGGGTGTGGCTGAGGGTGGGAGTGGATATGTGAACCCCTGGACAGGGTGGAGGTGGCACCTGGGTGAAGAGGATGTGGATATGAGGAGGAGGTGGAGGAGGAAGAAGCTGGTTGGAGCTGGTAGCTGGCAGCTGATGACGGTCCAGAGGAAGAGGGTGTTGCCTGGGAGCTGCTGCCCCCCTTGGGAAACGACTGCTGGGGTGGAGTTTGGTTGAGCTGGATGGAGATGTCAGAGGAGACATCGGAGGCACTGCGGCCTCGCTGTGGTGGAGCCCAGGAGTCTGGGTGGAGGTACTGGCCGCTGTAGTCGCTGCAGTCAGACATGCGGGGGCGGTACAGTGCAGGGTGGGGCCGGTAAAGCTCCTCCTCAGCGTAACGCTTCATGAAGAGGTAGACAGACATCACTCCTGCACCCTGGAGACACAAACAAAATACTGCAAC